AAGCCGAGAAACCTCGAATAGCGGGTACAGTCTACTTTTAAAGGGGCCACAGAAGCAAGGGGGGGTTGTTCTTTGACTATTCTGATTGGCTTATTTGAAAGGGCTATTACCGATAATTGACTGGAGAGCTGTTGCCAGATCAGACGAGGTAAGAGGTCATTTTGACCCCGTTTCCCAGGGGACCGAACCAAAGCCTACGTATATGGGTAATTGTTCAGGAACTGAGTACATGCGAGTGTAGCTGTTAGGTCCTTGGTTCCCAGGGGAGGAGAGGAAGCACTATGGCACAGAGGCTGAGAGGATTCAGAATTGTCAAAAATGGCTTCAGGATTGTCTTAAAGTCTTACAGGCTCTTCCTCTAGGTGGCTTGTACTGATGAAACCTTTCAGTGTACATTCTTCTCCATCCTCGAGTGTCACTGCTTCCTTGGCACACAGAAAGCCCGAGGCTTCATGGAGCTCTCTGTGGCACCGGTAGTGCATGGTGCTGCAAGTTGGCCTCAGCAAGCAGGTCCAGTCTGTGTCTAGCATACCCGTATTTGTTGGGACCATGAGAGATGGGTCTCCTGAGGCAAACTGTTCCCCCTGAATCCAGAATACCCTTGTACACAATGCAGCCCTACGTCCCTCACCAGAGGGGCATCCCTTAATGACACTGATAAGTGTGACTGAAAGACGTTAGTGCTGGTCAAGATCAGAGACAGATTCACTGCATCCCTGTAATCATGTTCCTAAAGCTGGACCCTGTGTTGGGGATGGCATGGCATGGGCTAAGAGGCATGTACTCCTGTCCCATAATTGGGTGTCAGGAAGCAGTCAGTAGATTAGTCACATATGTGATGTTACTCTGGATAACATCACTGTGCTCATGATCCAGGGGACTCACTTGAAAGAACTAACATCCAGGACAGTGGCCTCAGGTTACATTTCAGTACAGAGGTACCCATAGCAGAAAAGTATTAGGAAGACATGGCCAGCAAATCACAATTATTTTTAAGAAACTATAATGTCCTGAAGGGCAGGGTGGTATGGAGAAAGGTCGAACTGGTTTCTATCAGCTTATTTCCTGCTATGTGATAACACTCAGAATGTGCATTTCCCTGTGAAAGGACCTGAGCACATGGGCTTATGCACTCTGGGATGAAGGCCAAAGACACCTTGGTGGTCCAGGCAGCCCTGGAATTCAGGTTCCCAAGAAGCAAGACCCTCATGTGACAGGGCCAACCTGGGGCTCACAAACACATCAAACCTTTGACCACTATGCGGATGTTCTTCCAATATCGTGAGATCATCCTTTGCCAGGTCTATGTGGACATCCTGAATAATGGTCTGGTCCACTGACTGAGTCAGAACAAGATTAATGCTACAGGACCTCAGCCAGAGGTCTAGGAAGCAGATTGCTCCATTTTTATTGGATTCTGGCCAGCCAGGTGAGACTATGGGAGGTTTGGTTGGTCTAATCAAAACAGCATAGAGGAATCCAGATGAACATCAGGCAAAGACTTCTACCGATTTCAATGAAATCAGTATTTTACTACAAGGAAAAAAATAACAGTATGACAAGTTCAGCAATTACATCATAATTGTTTTTGCCTCTATTCCAGTACATGTTTGTGAATAATTTTTTTTAGAATCTCATGCCTTAGATACAAATAGTTTATATCTTTAATGGCGGTAATGATGGGCTTGATGATGAACACATTATCTTCTTATGTTATGCACTTGGTATAAAAGAGCAAGCCAGGTGTGGTAGATCATGTGTTCAATCCCAGCACTTGGGTGACAGAGGCAGGAAGATTATGATGCCAGACTGTTCTACATTGCAAGTTTTATAAGACAGCCAATGCCACATGGTAAGAACCCGTCTAAAAAAATCTGGGCCCAGATCCAGCGCTTCGAGTTGGTCCACCCCAATATCTACTCCATCCTCTCCATCTACAAGCTACTGGAGCATGTGGAGGAGCCAATGCTGCAGAACCAGACCCAGGCCCATGTCACCACCATCGTGGATGAAAACCCGAAGCAAGGCTGAGATCAAAGTCAGCACCTGCTGCCATGGAGCAGCTCTGAGGAGCCTGAGAGATCCATGGAGTTTCTGAGGGAATATGAGGTGGTTGGTGGTGGAGGAGTCTGCAAAGGCCACAGTGTCCCCAGGTGGGGGGGGGAGAAAGGCAGGTCCCATGGGAAGATGCTTTTGAAAAGTGAATTCATGAAATTGGAAGGAAAGATGGCAGAACAGAGCTGCACGCACAGAGGAGAATGGTGAAACTATAGACTCGGTGACTCGGTGGTCCATGCTGTAATTAGAAACCACATGAAAGTCCATGATCTGTGCTGCTGCTGCTGACTATAAAGGTTAAGGAAGCTTCTTTTGCAGTGGTATCGATGACAGGAGTCTCACAGTTGAGAATGAATGACATAGAAGATTTCTATGTCAACCTCTCCCTGCCCCACAAAGAAAAGAAACAGTCTAGATGGGAACTTTAAAACTGTGATAAGAATGCTGAAGTGCAGCTCTTCACAGTTGATGGTGTCCGGCAGGGGTAGGATAGGGGAAGAAGTTGTTTTTGTTTTTAAAGAAAATAAACTATCTTTTTTCCATTTTACATAACAGACCCAGTTCCCACTCCCTCCCCTCCTCCCATTCCTCCACCATCTCCCCAACTCACCCCCCCCCCCATCCACTCCTCAGAGAGGGGTAAGGCACACTGTTTTGGGAAGACCCTCCCTACTATATCTAGGCTGAGCAAGGTATCCATCCAAAGAGAATGGGTTCCCAAAAAGCCAGTACTGAAACAGTTTACCTGAGCTAATGGGAGCTCACCAACTCCAGCCAGACAGGGAACAAACCAGCATAGGACCAAACTAGACCCTTTGAATGTGGTTAACCGTTGTATGGCTGGGCAGACTGTGGGGCCACTGGCGGTGGCACTGGGATTTATCCCCACTGCTTGTACTGGAGTCGGTTACTTTTAAGAGACTGGCCACTGGGAATTTGTCCATGCTCCAGTGAGTATATGGGTAACACAGCTTGGACTTTGTATTTTTTTCCTTTTTTTTCTTCTTTTGTTTTGGGGGAGGTCACAAGAGTGGAGGTGGACCCGAGAGGACTGGGAGGTAAATGTGATCGGGGTGCATTTTTGAAATTTACAAATAATTAATTTTAAAAAATTAAGTTAAGAAAAAGAGGGAAAAAATTCAAGGCAATGGTGGGTTCTAGTCAAGTTTACAGACTAGATAGCAAAAGAAGAAAATTTTATGAATTAATGTAATTCTTGAAAATTCACAGGGAAGTGACTCAATGGTGAAGCTGAAATTTCTCCCCCTGAAATCTATTCTCATATACCATACTTGTCAGTATGTGGCTGAGAAGCAGCCCGCCAGCCTGATATATGTACCATGGTGCTGTTTGCAGTTGTACAGCACACAGAGACCAGCTCCAGACAGTGAAATGTATTTGTCGTGTCCATGGCAACACCTTTGAGAAGCTGGTGCCCACTTGCCACCACTCTTCCCTCTGCTAGCAAGCAAAATGGCCCACCAAGAACCTATTCTTTAATCACATAATCAGTACAATGTCATATACTGAGGATTCTTTCTGGACTGTACCTTGGAGGGGGTGATCCTGAGGGACCAGATACTGGAAGGCTGTCTCTGATTCCATGAGTAAAGGGAAAGGTAACATGAAAACTCTAGTGAAGGATGCTTAAGGCACCATGAACACTGACTTTATAACTCAAATTTCTGTATCACCCTGAGGTCTCTGTCCACCACCACCTCCACCACCACCACCTCCTCCACTCCCTGCCCAGGCTACCCTCGGACCTCTGTTCCAAATTTGGAACCACTCACCTCCAATAGACCAAGTCCCCAGCTGTCTCCTTTCTCATTGTTTCCCTGGACATACTCCCTATGCTATCAATAAGCCGCACACTACACAAAACATCCCCAACCTACTTGGCTAGACTGAATAGGATACATAGGGGAAAAAATCTGCTTACTAGTGCTCTGGCTGTGTGCCCAAGGCACTGATACAGCTTGTAGACCAAACCATCATCCAGTATGTTCAGAAAGGCCTGACAAAGGATGCTGTCTGTATCCTAGTGCCCTGGATCCTCCAGAGTCTGTCAAGACATCTTACTAAGGCCACAGGTATGAGGCATCTATGAGTCAGGTACATACATCGCCTGTGGCTCCTACCTCTCCATCACCAACAGGGCCACCAATGACTCTGTGACTCCAGAGAATCCTCATCCTTCCTCCCCAACTGCAACAGCATCTTGGTCTTCAGCATGCATGGTTGCTCACCTTCTTTCTACACCCAAGAGGAACCCACAGTCTCTCACCACCTGAATTCATCCAAGCAGGAAACACAACTGGGCAGACACCCCTCCCCCCCGCCCCCCACGAAACACAAGAGCAGCTCTACCCCTGAAAGCACTCATGGCTTCACTGAGAGTATAAATACATCTCTTCCACGTGACAAAGGGTGAGCTTGTATACTGGGCTCCAAACAGAGGCTGCTGCTGTGGCCAATGGTTTCTATAAGCCCACCCTGCTTGTGGAAAAGTTATCGAACTTACTCTTTAGTCACATTAATCAGTATCACTAGGCCATGCCCAGCTGAAGAGCACTGAGTTGTGTACGAAGGTGTTGTGGGTCCAGGCAGAACCATTTGGGCGGGGCAGTTGTGCGGAACCATCATAGCAGGCTCCTAAGATGTCAGGGTGTTGAGGACACTGGTCAGTCAGCTTGAGCAGGTTCTGTGAATACCCAGGCAGCACCACTCACCCACTCCTGTTGCCGAGCTGAGCTTCCCGAAGCCTCAGGCTTGTTGGGATCAGTGCCACTCATGGGTGGGGCAGCTTGGAAGAAACCTTTATTGGAGGATCCCATTAGTACAAGTCCCTGGGGAAGGTACCGTGTGAGAGGGCTGTACTTTTTGAGCTCTCAGAGACGCCCCTCCCCCACCCGCCATGCCCCTCCCCGTCTGAACAGAAAGCTACTTTAGCGGGAACCAATCCTCGCGAGATCTTGTTTGCACACGCGCAGTTGGCTTCACGTATAAGCCCGCTGACCTTGGCACAAGAACTTCCTTGAGAGCGGTAGGGTTGTGTTAGTGGCACGGGTTAGGGTGCTGAGGGGAAAGCCAGAGTAGTCATGCAGGACCCTGATGAGGGCCTAGATGGGAGAGCAGGGGCTGAAGAAGGCGAGGATGGGCAGCAGAGTCCTCAAGGTTCCGAAGCCCAGCCTAGCTCTCAAAGTTTGGCAACGGAAGGTGACTATGGCACCTTCCCTCAGAGTGGCCCACAAGATTCCAGTAGCCCAGCTGCTCCTGGTAGCCAGGCTGCTCCAGGCAGTCCCCGCCCAGGGAGCCCTGTGGGGTCAGGTGCAGCTGCTGAAGAGGCAGCTGTCTTTCTCCACAATGAGCAGCCACCACTTCTCCCTGGACCCAGCGGAGATACTGCATCAACAACGGGAAATCGACTCCTGGAGTTGTATCCTTCCCTAAGAGACCCTCGCCAGGGGCTACTAGATCATAGGGACGCTAAAACTTCCATGGAAGGCCTTGGGGACACGGTGCACAGCTGACTAGGGAAAGGCCAGACGGATGTGGTGTGGGTAGTCCAGTGCGCCAGTTGACATCCTGACAGGACAAGGAGACTCCTTGCCTTAGCGGACTGAAGGGTGTAGAAAAAGACCCGAATCACTGGGGAGTGGGGAGGTGACTGGACTCTGGTGGCGAGAGGGCTCATTGCCAGGCAGGCCTAAGGAAGTGTATCTAAGCAAAGGGAAACTAAGTGGTGGATGGTGCCTTAACCTTATCTCCTCCCAGCTCTGTAACAGTACCTTTCAGGTCTGCAGTGGAGGCAGACATGGCCCGCAGGTCCCTGGTCGCCAATGCCCGTCGCCAGCAAGTGATGGTTCAGCAGGAGTTCACAGTGAATACCACTGTCTTGTCTGTGTCAGTATTCCAAAAGCCTGGAGTAGGGGTGGCCTCAGGGTTCGGGAGGCAGTGTGTACTCTAGGGGTGTCCTAATGGAGACACTGGTAGATTTAATGTGAGTGGGAAGACGTGGTATGGTGGACCTGAAGAGATCCCCCATCATTTCCCTGATAGTGTCTGTTTCTCTCAAGTTTAGTAGGTGGACTACTGAAGACCCTGTCCTCTTCAGAATTTCCATCAACACTTTCCTTGACCAGCTCTCCCTGGTGATGAGAAACATTCAGCGCCTGGAATTTGTGGCTGTTGTCAAACGAGGCCGAGGAAGAAGTCGTGAATCCTAACATATTACCAGATAAAAGAAAAGTCATGGGGGTTTCATGTTTTGAGTAATTGTTATTTTGCCCTTAAAAGGTCAGTGTTTCAATACTGTGTGACACGTATTAGTCGCACGGTTGGATTTTTTTTCCCGGTTGCTTAAGGAAAAGCAATTTAAATGTTACTGGACAAAATAGAATTTAGCAAATATTTTTCATCTGATTTTACTTTTGACTATGACAGAAACTGCCAGGTTTTCTCATCTGTGTGCTTCTGTGGAGGAGAAGTTCTGGAATTTAAATGCTTGAGTAGTACAAAGAAATTTAAGGAAAATTAGGAGATGGATGGAAACGTAAATTACTTAAATATATTCTTTGAGTATTTAATTGGTCTTTTTTTTTATTTTAGCATGCAATGTAGCTTATTTCCTTGTGGCATTTTCATACATACTTAATTTTTTTACTGGTCTTTTCCCTTCTCTCCCTTTTTTCACAGGTATCCCCACTTTAACCCTATCATCTCCTGTATCCTTCCTTTTTTTTTTCATATCACATGTATTCTGACACCCTTCTCTGTTCTCTTCCATAAAGCTTTTTTCACCTCTGATCTCTAGTGTGCACTCTAGGGTTGCCCTAATGGAGATACCATAATAACAGTAGTTATATGCCTACTTTTGTTTCTGCTGGCAGTAATTTTGACTTTTTCCCTACTGAAGCTAAATGTGTCGCAGTTATTCTTTGAGAGCATACTTATATTTCTGAGACAATATGCTTTGGCTCATTTTGTGCTTTCTCTGCCCTAACCATGGAACCTATCAATTCTCTAATAAACTCCCTTCTCTTAGAATGTTACAAAACATAATCTTCCACAGTGCAGAGCCCCTCATTGGTATCTTCAGCTGTGAAATCTCCCCATTAATGCACTGATTCCCAGATAGTGTAATTACCTTTCACTCTAGCTCAGATATAAATTCCTTACAATCTCTGTGATTCTACATAGCTACAATGGCCCCCACACAGTGTTCAGCAATCTTCTAGAGCAGCCATTCTCAACTTCCCTAATTCTGCAACACTTCATACAGTTCAAGTTGTGATGACCCCCAACCATAAAATTATTTTCGTTGCTACTTAACTGTAATTTTACTACTTTCGTGAATTTTAGTGTAAATATAAGATATGCAGTATTTCTGATACATGACCCCTGTGAAAGGGTCATGCAGCCCCAGCACCACAAAGCTGTCTCAACTCACAACCAAGAACCTCTGCTCTAGACAATGGTGATGGAACTCAGGCCATTGTGACATTGTAACCCATCCTGAACTCTTCTTTCAATCACACAAATATTTAGAGCAAGTTTTCTTACCTTTTTCCACATTTGGACTCCTTTCCATACATATATTTACTATGGAGTCAATCTTTAGAATCCATCAGGCCAGCAAGACACTGTCATTCTCACTGAGTATGCCTTTCTCTCATAGATCTGTGAATCCTCAAAATCTTTCTCAGGCAGGACAGTGCTGTGCTCAGCAAGGAACCAATCTTCATACCAGTCCAACTCTTTTCCCAATGTCCCTGGCTCTCCCCTGAGGCTCACAAACACAATGGCTTTGGGAAGCAGAGCACAAGGGATAGAGGTAGGAGAGACTGGCAGGAAAGTCTGCAGAGTTGCTATTTTTACTAATGATCCCATATTCATATCCCATGATGACTTCAGGTGGCAGTTGTCTTCCTTGCAAATGTCCAAGATCTTTGATAGTTTTCTATGTGTCTTATGTCATATTAGTGTATGTGCACATGGGTGGAGGTTCTGCACAAAATCAAAGGTCAGAGGAAGATGCCAGGTGTCCTTCTCTATTATCTACTCCTTATTCTGTTGAGACAGAGTCTCTTATTGAAACTGGAGATAGACTGGCAGTCAGCAAACCCCAACTAATCACATCTCAGCCTTCCATAGTGCTGGGGTTCGAGACAAATGTAGCCATACTAAGCTTTCCCCATGGGTGATAAGGATCCAAACTCAGATCTACACACTTATGTAGCAAGTATTCTTACCCACTGAGCCATCTCCCCAGCCTCTTATTTGCTTTTATAAGGTGTCTCAGATTTGGTCCAGTGAGATGACTTGGCAGGTAAAGGTGCTTGCCATGCAAGCCTAACACACACACACACACACACACACACACACACACACACACTAATTTTTAAAAATGTCTCTGGTTTGGGTTGACATGACAGCTCAGTAGGTAAAGGCACTTGTATCCAACACGGATGACCTGAGTTCAATCCCTAACAAGTACATGATGAAAGAGAACAAACTCCACACACATTGTATTCTGACGTCAACACACATGCCATGTTGTACCTATGTGCACACATAAAAGGTCATTTTTTAAAGTCTCAAGTTTACCTTGAGTAGATCCTGTCTCATGACTGAAATAAGTCATTTCTCTCCAAGAAGCCCTGATTTCTTTCAGTGGAAACGTTTCCAAAAAAATCTGTTTTTGTTTTTTTAATGGTGCTATGATAAATTGTACTTATTTGAATTTATATATATTCTATACTGAGCCAGCAAGACGGCTCAATGTATAAAAGTGCATCCTACTGAGCCTGACAACCTGAATTTGATCTCCAGGGCCCACAAGATGGAAGTCAGCGCCTCAAGTTTACCTCTGACTTGTTATGCATACACACAGAGAATACATATAAATTTGGTGCCACCTGCTATTGTTATTCTTGTTTTGAGGTCATTTTAAGATGAGAAAAAAACTTTTTTTCCAAAATAAAAATAAATCAGGTTTATGTTAATATTCCAAACTCAAAAGTTTTTGCTTTGTGTTTATAATCACTTTCTTTAGTATCTTATTCCTTACAAGTCTCCAAACTTTTTTCTTCAAATATTTTTGCAATACTTGAGACAGAAACCAAGTGCACACAAGTGCCCTACCACTAAGTTCCATTATCAGACTCTTTTTTTTTGTTTTGTTTTTTCAAGAAAGAGTTTCTCTGTTTTGGAGCCTGTCCTGGAACTAGCTCTTGTAGACCAAGCTGGCCTCGAACTCACAGAGATCCACCTGCCTCTGCCTCCCAAGTGCTGGGATTAAAGACGTGCGCCACCACCGCCAGGCAGTAATCAGACTCTTTTAACTTTTTTATTTTTAATTTTGTGCATTGGTGTTTTGCCTGCATGTATGTCTATGTGAGGGTATTAGATTCCTAGAGCTGGAGTTACAGACAGTTATGAGCTGCCATGTGGGTGCTGGGAATTAAAACAAGGTCCTCTTAAAGAACAGTCAGTGCTCTTAACCACTGAGTCATCTCTCCAGACCCTTTTAACTTTTAAAAAAGATTTATGTTACGCCCGAGCCAGCAACCTCTGTCAGAGCAGGCCCGAGTGAGTGACCTCTGCCAGAGCAGGTATGAGGGAGCAACGGCCAAGGGAGCAGGCCTGAGCCAGAGACTCTGCAGGATCCAGCCAGGGATCTCCATGGGAGCAGGCCCAAGCCAGGGACATCCACGGGAACAGGCCAGAGCCAGTGACCTCCACAGGAGCAGACCCGAGCCAGCGACCTCTGACGGAGTAGGCCCAAGCAAGCAACCTCCACAGAAGCCAGTACCAGGGAGTGACTGCCAAGGGAGCAGGCCTGAGATAGAAACCTCTGTGGGAACAGGCCCAAGCCAGGTACATCTGCAAGAACAGGCCCAAGCCAGCAATCTCGCCAGAACAAGCCTGAGTCAGCAACCTCCACATGAGCAGGTCCAACCCAGTGAACTCCACATGAGCAGGCCTGAGCCAGTAATCTACACAGAAGCAGGCCCAAGTCTGCCATCTCCAAGGAACCAGGCCTGAGCCAGCCAGCCACCTCCAGAGGACCAGGCCCAAGCCAGTGACCTCAGTGGAAGCAGGAACGAACGACCTCCAGGATTGTAGAGCGAACACCAGGAGCACCAAGAAACTCCAGGAAAACCAAGTAACATCCAGGGTGACTGGAACTGTGGCCCCGACTGCACCATAAGGAACAACCATCTGAGCTTTGGATCCACTGGCACCTGGAAGATGGATCATCAGAGACACAGCCCCAACTACACCAATCATAGGAAAAGATGGGTAGACAAGGTAAGAACACGCTCAACACCACAACGAGAAAAACAACACCAACAAAAATTTAGTGGCTCTATAGCAACAAGACTTGAACACCCCAATATAGATGAAGCAGAAGAAAATGACCTAAAAAATAACTTTAGGAGAATGTTTGAGGCCCTTCAACAGAAAATGAAAAATTCCCTCAAAGAAATAGAGAAAAAGACAAACAAAAAAATGGAAGAAATAAACAAATCCCTTAAAGAAAACCAGAAAAAAAACAATCAAACAGATGAAAGAAACAATTCAAGACTTGAAAACCAAAATAGAGACAATAAAGAAAACATAAACTGAGGAAATTCTGGAAACAGAAATTATGGGAAAATGATCTGGGACCACAGATGCAAGCATAAACAGCACAATACCAGAGAGGGAAGAGGGAATCTCAAGCACTGAAGACACAATACTGAAAATAGACTCATCAGTCAAAGAAAATATTATATCTAACAAAAACTTTACACAAAATATCCAGGAAATATGGAACACCATGGAAAGACCAAACATAAGAATAATAGTGATAGAAGTCCAACTCAAAAGCACTGAAAATACATTTAACAAAATCATAGAAGAAAACTTTCCCAACCTAAAAAAAAGATATGCATTGAAGATACAAGAAGCGTACAGAACACCAAATAGACTGGATCAAAAAAAAAAAAAAGTCCTCTCACCACATAATAATCAAAACACTGAGCATACAGAATAAAGAAAGAATATTAAGAGTTGCAAAGGAAAAAAAAGGCCAAGTAACAAATAAAGGTAGACCTATCATAATTACACCTGATTTCTCAATCGAAACAATGAAAGCCAGAAGTCAAGTGTTATGTAGACATTAAGAGACCATGGATGTCAGCCCAGACTATTAAACCCAGCAAAACTTTCAATCACAATA